AGAGTAGCTTACAACAAACCTCTAGTGTCATCAGTTGTTTTCAGGCACTGCATTGAAGGTTGAGCTGAATGTGGTGTACGACAACCCTGCAGTGTAGCTAAAACAGGCGAAGGGAGGCTGGGTAAACAGGATATCCGCATTCTAAAGTAATCCTCAGAAATGTGTTGTCTAGAGGCCAATGAACCAACAGGCTTGCTCCACGAGTCCGAGAGGAAATGAGATTCCACACACACCCCTCTTTAAACAATACTCTTGTGGCTGTTGCATGGCAGACAGCACTTGAAACAAGGGAGACTGGGAAGCAGCTTGTGTTGCGACTTGTGAGTCAGCAATTATTAAAAACTACCCCCCCCCAAAGAAATAACCCAAAGGTTAGTGCATGTCTAAGTAGCTCTTTGGAGCCCAGCTGAACCACTACAGTGGTACCTTGGTTCTCAAACTTAATCCATTCCAGAAGTCCGTTCCAAAGCCAAAGCGTTCCAAAACCAAGGCACGCTTTCCCATAGAAAGTATTGCAAAATGGATTAATCTGTTCCAGACTAATTAATCTGTTCCAGACCCCTAAAACAGTAATTTAACACGAATTTTACTATCTAACGAGACCATTGATCCATAAAATGAAAGCAATAAACAATGTACTGCAGTCACAGAATCAATTAGTAGCTGAACTGCATTCCACACAGCCACAAAAAAACCAAAAAAGAGCCACAAAAACGCAAAATAAATAGCAAAAACAGACAGACCTCAGCGTAACACTCAAAACGGAAGTGTGGCACTCAAATCAGAAGCGTGGCACTCAAATTGGAAGCATAACACTCAAAACAGAGCACGCTTGGCTTCCCAAAAATGTTCTCAAACTGGAACACTTACTTCCAGGTTTGCAGTGTTTGGGTTCCAAGTTGTTTGAGTACCAAGGCGTTTGAGAACCAAGGTACCCCTGTAAACGCTTTCTGAATCACAGAGAATTGTATTGCAAGCAGCAACAGGGTTAAAGGATTTCTGTCTCTGCTGATACTAACTTTAATCCTCACATTAAGAAGTAAACAATGCAAGAATAAACCAGCATGTGAGGCTAAACCAGTTTTTTCACAAAGCTATCTTCCTACATACCTGATTTAATTCATTTCATTCCCTTAGGTGAACACCTATTTAAATCCAGTACCTGTGCATCCCATAAGCCTTCAGAGTAATGGCTCGAGAGAGGTGCCCCCAGCAGGTAGGTCTAAGCAACTACAGTTGACATTACCTAAGTTGTGACTGCTTTCTTATATGTCGGCAGGATTATGTCCAACTTGGGCTATTACCTGTTTTGGATAGTTTTCAAGACATGCAGAGGTTAGCGAAGGTGGGAAAGTGAGACTGTGCTTTCCCAAGGGAACCATCTGCATGATGCAAGCCTGAACATGTTGGTTTTGGATAAATTATTCGTTAATTTTATCTCTGGAGAGGCCGTGCACGCTGGCCCGGGCCTTCTCAGGCCTAAATGACTTGAACTGAGCCGGAAAGGGGGATTTTAAGTAAGTTCAGCTTAATGTGTTTTCCAGACTCCAGGGAAGAAATAAGTGAGTTCCTTTCCAGCCTTTCTCAGCCTGTGGGTCCCCAGATGTTGTTGAACTACAACTCCCATCACCCCTAGCTAGCAAGGCTAGAGCTCAGGGATGATGGGAGTTGTAGTCCAACAACATCTGGGGACCCACAAATTGAGAACCGCTGCAAATTCAGACCATCCTGCACAATGCTGGGAGATGCGAAGGCCTGGGAAAATTAAGTTCAGCTACAGTTCTGTGTTCTAGTAATACATTTTACTAGGGAAGGACCGTCGCTCAGTGGAACATGCAAAAGGCATTCAATCTTCAGGAAAAGCTGGGAGCATATTCCCTGTCTGAAATCCTGGAGAGTTAACCTGCCAGTTAGTGCAGAGAATACCAAGCTATATGGACCATTGGTCCAATAAGGCAACTTCCTATGTGGTTAAATATATTTGAGTCCATAAATCCTGTTCACGCTTGTATTGTGCTCTTTCCTATTGCTATGATCCACTTGTATAATTTTGCCTTACCCTAGAATTACAGAAGAAGGTGGTATTAAGGATAGCTGGGACTTTGGTTGGTTATAATTTTACATTAGCTAAGCAAAATGATGCTAACTATTTTTTTTAACATCTCTGGGTTTCCTTCTTCCACAGACGTATCAAAAAGCAGTCCGCCTCCTCCTAATTATTATGAGCTAATGGAATTCGACCCCTTGGCTCCCAGTGACAAAACAGAGTAAGTAATTTTGAGAATGACGAATTTACTGCTTGTCGATACACCAGATTTATAATACAGTGGTGCCTCGCAAGACGAATGCCTCGCAAGACGAAAAACGCGCAAGACGAAAGAGTTTTCCGTTTTTTTGAGTCATTCCGCAAGACGAATTTCCCTATGGGCTTGCTTCGCAAGACGAAATGTCTTGCAAGTTCTTGCGAGTTTGTTTCCTTTTTCTTAAAGCCGCTAAGCCGTTAATAGCCGCTAAGCCGCTAATAGCCGTGCTTCGCAAGATGAAAAAACCGCAAGATGAAGAGACTCGCGGAATGGATTAATTTCGTCTTGCGAGGCACCACTGTACAATTCAGGGTGTTGGCCACTGAAGGTAAATGAGTGATTAAATTTAGCCAAAAAACCATTCTTGGAGGCACATTTGTTGTTTAATCAGGACTATTTGAAAAATAAATATATTGTCGTTAGTTGAAAATACATATTTAAGTAAATCCCTTGGGTTGGATCCAGAGTATCATTTCTGCTTGGTGAAAGGGACAGAGATCCAGCAGATTTCTGCAGGACAAGGTGGCAATTTTTTCAGGAAGCTGCAGGGGAAAGAATTGGCAGATATTGCCTCCCCTTCCTGCCTCTGCTGGGAGTGTCTTGTGATGGAAGTCCTACTAATAGGAACTCTGGATCCGAGCCATGGAAAAGTAATTACAAAGCTGAGAGCATGGATTCAAAGCTGGCTAAGCAGCGAGGGCCTCGCAGATCTGAATTACGTGAAGCAAGAGCATTACATACAAAATCCAAAAGATAGATTAACTCGATGAGCAAAATCCACCATTGTGTGAGCAACTCTCCAAATCAGATTTTGCATGTGTGCAGGGGAGCGGATGGTGCATTCCCACTGCACAAATGGAAGTCTGCTCTGCTCACACATTTTGAGCATGGGAAACAACCCAATTATCTCCCTCACACATTGAAATTATTTCTGTTACTAGGGAACTTGTGGGCAGACTCATTGACCATTCATTTTTGCAGACATTCATTGAAGCTACCGTATTTTTCGCCCTATAGGACGCACTTTTCCCCCTCCAAAAATGAAGGGGAAATGTGTGTGCGTCCTATGGGGCGAATGCAGGCTTTCGCTGAAGCCTGGAGAGCGAGAGGGGTTGAGAGGGAGTTCCCGCCGGGCTCCCAAGGTTTGCGAACAGCAGCCTGCAGCCTGAAACCCCGGGGAGCGCAGCAGGGCGCACCCCGGGCTTCGGGCAGCTCTCCGCAAGCCTTGGGAGCCCGGTGGGACTTCCCGCCGGGCTCCCAAGGCTTGCGGACAGCAGCCTGCAGCACGAAACCCAAGGCTTGCGGATAGCAAGGCTTGTGGATAGCTCCCAAGGCTTGCGGATAGCAGCCTGTTCTAGGGGCTGGGGTCGGGGGAAGCTCGGGCTTCCCCCGCCCCAGCCCTGCACCTGGGGGGAAAATAATTTTTTTTTCTTTATTCACCCCCCCAAAAAAAACTAGGTGCGCCCTATGGGCTGGTGCGCCCTATAGGGCGAAAAATACGGTAAGCCCATTGGGGTCAAAGAAAATTGTCTGAAAGGCTCTGATGTGGGCTGCAGACCATGAGCTGGCCATTTTTGCTAGGAGGATTTGGATACCATGGATAATGAAGCAAAATGAGTTTTATGCTATGTGGGGCTCAGCCCCTAGCTCTCCTGTAATTGTTTTGTTGACTAATCCTTGTTATTCATGTCACAAAAGAGTGTTTTATCTTGTGCTTTTGATTTCAGACCTGTATATGAAGAAATTGATGCACACCTATTCAAAGCAAGTGTTAGAAACAACACCAGTTGTTAAAAGCAGAGGTCCAAGAGAACCAGTACTTTACCAGTACTAGAGACTATTTTGATCACTCAAAACCTGTCAGCTCTGTGACAAAGAATAGGAGGACAATTTTTGGAAGATGATTTGGATACGTCACACCGTTCATATGAAGAGATTCAAAACCTATCCTCCCTTAAGTGCATTACATTAAGTTCAGTTGATCGTTAAGAATGCAAGGTTCTACTTGTGCGTATACTTTGGACCAAAGTCTACAAATTCTATACAGCATGACCCCCCCCCCTAAAAAAAACATTCTTTCTAGGGAGCAAAATACCCAAGACTGTAATTATAAAAGAAACTTTGCACCTAGAAAAATAAGGTACTTTTATTTTATGGTACATTCTGCTTAGTTATAAAAGCAAACAACTTTTTCCATAGGTAGAACTACATAATGGAACTTGATTTAAGTTGATGTGCATCATTGTGCTAGAGGTCCAGGACCAAATCGAGGTTCTAGCTAGCCTTCAAGCTGTTATCTGGGATTTAGTGCTACATTTTGTGGGGGTGGACCTTACCCCTCTATCCTCTCAGTATAATCTTCCTGTAAAACTGTTTGCTAACCAGGCACATAGTTTTGAAATCAGATGTTTCATAGCAAGTTTCTTGGTCTTCCGATGACTAGTCACTATAGCACTTTTCTCTAAATAGTTTATGTAATCCACTCATTGTATCAGACTTGCACAAGCTATTCCAAAGCAGAGGGGAATGTGAAAACAGTTTTCCCTTGGTTTTTGAACAGCTTAGTTCTCTAACGTTTTGGCTCCCGAATGCTGCAAATCCGGAAGTGAGTGTACCAGTTTGCAAACTATTTTTGGAAGCCAAGTGTCTGACTGACAAGGCTTCCGTGGCTTCCAATTGGCTGCAGGGGCTTCTGCAGCCAATCAGAAGTTGCGCTTTGGTTTCCGAACATTTTGGAAGTCAAATAGACTTCTGGAACTGATTCCGTTTGACTTCCGAGGTACGACTGTAGTCTCATGAGGGTTTGCTGTAGTAGAAGTCTTGCTCCATTTCTGTCCTAACATTCTTTAAAGAGCTGCACGTGTGATGGTAAGCCACAAATGCTCTAGTTTTCATGGGCTTCATTGGGAGCAGCTAAACAAGGCACTAAGCAGATGGATGGGGGACAGCAAGGACATAAGCACACTCCTCTTTAAGGTATTTTGGGGCAACTCTGCCCTTGTTTGTTACTGTAGCTGTTTTCCACATTAAGCAGGTACTATTAGCAACTAAAGTTATCTTTAAGCAGGTAAGGACAGTCACTTGGGTCATAGATCATACAATGTAAAAGGGTGATGGGAAGAGGTGCCTTCTTTCTGATTTAAAGTAAAGTAAGTACTGCTCTGGAGGGACGCAGGTGGCGCTGTGGGTTAAAGCCTCAGCACCTAGGACTTGCCGATCGAAAGGTCGGCGGTTCGAATCCCTGCGGCGGGGTGCGCTCCTGTCGTTCGGTCCCAGCGCCTGCCAACCTAGCAGTTCGAAAGCACCCCCGGGTGCAAGTAGATAAATAGGGACCGCTTACTGGCGGGAAGGTAAACGGTGTTTCCGTGTGCGGCTCTGGCTCGCCAGAGCAGCGATGTCACGCTGGCCACGTGACCCGGAAGTGTCTCCGGACAGCACTGGCTCCCGGCCTATAGAGTGAGATGAGCGCACAACCCTAGAGTCTGGCAAGACTGGCCCGTACGGGCAGGGGTACCTTTACCTTTACAAGTACTGCTCTGAGACTGTGACTGCCAAACCTATTTATAATGAATGTCATTACAATCAGCTGTTCAAATCAATGCTTTCTAACTGCAGATGGTACATTTTAAGTCTGATTGCTATGTAGTATTTAATTATGTTTTACAATTCCTATGCTGTTTTTATACAATCCAAATAAAATGCAGTCAGAAACTATCTAATGGGTGGTTTCAGTAGCTGCACAACTCTCCAGTTTAACACAGCTCTTTCCTATTCGGTTTTATAGCTTGCCTCCTGCATTTTATGTCAAATGTTTGCATGCCTGTGTTAAGTAAGGCATCACACCATTGCTGCTTTATCAGTTTATTTGCTCTGCAGCTATCTAGCTTTGAGCTGAAGTTTCTGTTGAGTCTTCAATGCATTTTGGAATCATACATTTAACATCACTGCCACTTGTAGTGTAGATATTTTGAAACTAGCCGATGTTTCCGTTGTCTGCCATGACCAATACCTCTTGTCTTCTCCTCCCTGCCCCAAGGTACATCTATCTTTATTGGGAGTTCTATTCACATTGGCTAGGAATTTCATCCAACAAAATATACAGGGCACAGAAAATTCAGGTAAAACTGTTATCAACCCAAAGTGCCAGAATCCCTAGAAATATTCTGTCATTTGATCTTTATTTTTTAAAAGGTGCTTTCATGTACTTCAAAGCATAGCTGAAATACATGCAGGAAAAGTCCCTCTTTACCCTGATATATAAACTATATTCAGACTAAATGTCCAAAACAGTAATGATTTTTTTTTAAAAAAGGCAGGATAAATTTATTTATTTTAACTCCGCTTTTCACCATCTGGGTACCAATGCAGCTCTAAGGATAGTACTAAAGTTTAATATGCTAACCTTCAATGTCACTTTAACAGAAGGGAATAGTAGGAGGAAAGAGTTACGGCTAGGAGAAAGGAAAGAAAAAAAACAGGTCTAAAAATAATAATCAGGGAACTTATAAGAGGTGATTTCCTTTGATTCTGAGTAGGTTACAGATTCTTTTGAGTTCAGTTCATGAGAATAAGAACATAGATGGCAACGAACAGCTGAGTTTCAGCATAACATTTCATATGGCATCTGCACTTTGGTTACAAACCTTCACACAATTTATGGAAGAGTGCTACCTCTGATATATTGCAAACAGCTAAAGGAGTTTTAGCGGTGTCTAAAATTAAATTAGATTTGAAAATACCACCCGCCACATGCATTTTATAATTATTATTCATAATCATGGTTCCTGTGTGCAAAATTAAACGTCACATCTTCAAATCTCTATACGATTCAATATCTAAAACACAACTTTTACAGTTTTTAAGCAACTTCCTACTGAGTTAAGGAATGTGCTTTTGCAGTCTGTAGATCACAAATACTGAATAGCAGAGGAATCTCCACTGCAGTGTCCGTCTGCTGTACTATTAGTTATAACCCGGGAGTGGCAGTTTCTGTCCTTCTTTTGCTTCAAAAAATGTGTAAGAAAGAGTGATCAAGTCAACATTGGCCATCCTTGGGTCTTCTGCAAATTCAGGATCAATGAAGAAAAATACCGGCATGTCCACTTCTTCGTGGGGATTAAGTCGTTGTTCTTCAAAACAAAAACACTGTAAATGTGGGGGAAAGAGGGTTTAGAATTGTTTCTGAAGTTTATATTAAGCCAACAATATATCCACAATCTAGTTTAAGGGGGAGGGGAACCTCTGTGCCTAGTTCAATTAAATGTGGCAAAATGCTATTTGTGATATTTTCCACCAAAGGACATGAAAAATCCATATACTAATTCACTTTGCCACTGTCTTGTGAAAACTGTAATACCCGCTTAAATGCAAAGGGTAATATCCAGGGTAAGTCATATTCGTAGTACAGCAAATGAAATTAATGGACTAAACTCCATGAATTTCAATGAGTCCATGCTGACTATAACTTAAATGGAGATTTAACATGAAGCGCTAGCACCATTGACAGTGAATTAAACCATATTATATCCACACTTTGGGTGTGTGTGTGTGTTATATTTTGAACTATTCAAAATCACACAGCTTTATTTTGTCTTAGAAAAGACAGCAGATATTAAAGAAAAAACTTTTTCTTTAATAGCTTTTTCAGAGCAGAGGTTGGCACTAGATCCTGAGTCTGGAGGGTAAGTTTTCCTTGCACCAATGACAAGGAAAGTGGAAGGCATTTACCTACATCTTGGATATTGCTGCTAACATGGATTAAAACAGAATCAGGCTTCAAAAGTAGGAGAGTTCAGTTAGCAGCAGCAGCAGTCCACTCTTAGCGCATCATACTACACTTACTTGTATCTTGTTGAAATACTGCCCGGCTTCAAAAGGCACCACATTGTAGGTAGAGATTCCAATTATTGGTTTATCAGTGGGATTCTTTGCTTTATAAAATGCCAGTGCGGTCTCTCCTGGAACCACCTGTAAGAAGAAGTTGCTCTAGTGATTTTTCTTGCTTTCCCCTATGTCACTGCCAGCCAAACTGCATTATGGTGGGTAAGTTTATAAATGGCTAGTAGTCACAGTATTGCCTCTGAACCCAAGTTGCTGTGAACTGCATGTTGAGAGAATGCTGTTGCACTCAGGATCTGCTTGCGGGCTTCCCATGGGCATTTGGGGGGGGGGGCTATGATAACACAGTGCTGGACTAGATACTCCCTTCACTCAATCCAGCAGGGCTTTTCTTCAGTGTTTAGGTTTTTATACAGTGGTACCTCGGGTTACAGATGCTTCAGGTTACAGACTCCGCTAACCCAGAAATAGTACCTCAGGTTAAGAACTTTGCTTCAGGATGAGAACAGAAATGCGCAGCAATTTCTGTGAAATGAAAGTTTGGTGTAGCCACTTTGTAGATTTTTCCTGGGATTGGGGAATGCTCCCTGTTGCTACTAGACAGCAACAACTTCAGTGTGCATGCTTGTGCTTGTGTAAAGTCAATCAATCTCCACAATCAGGCATGCTAAACTTAAGGTTGTTGGGGATATATCTCTAATTCTGTGTTATGCCACGTCCCCCACAGCTATTTTGTGACTAGCGCACTCTCAAAATTCAAAACATGACCAGTGGTCCTAAAAGGTTGTCAACCCTTGCGCTAACTCACCTGAAGTAGACAACACCTGTACATTCATCAGCATTCTGTGTTGGAATGCTAACAATGTTTCCGTCTAAAGTAGGTCTAAATCAAGAAACTGCCGAAAACTCAAAGGAAAGGGAGTTTATTTCTCATGCAGATGTGGCATGGAGGACAGACTTACATAAAAGTAAGGTCTCCAGCAAAGAGGGTGTCTCTACAGCATGCTGCTGTGCTCTTCCAACCAGGAATTCAGAGAACTGCGCTATGGCTCACTCAACGCCTCTGACCGAGTCAATATGGCATAGCAGTTAGGGTCAAACTGAGATTGGGGAGACCCAGATTCAAACTCCCACTTGGCAAAGAAGCTCACTGGATTACTTTTGGGGCAGTGTTGTTGTTGGCTGGGGGGGGGGGGAGGCAGAACACACACAGTGCCTTTTGCTTGGTAGAGTAGACAAAGGCAAACTAAATGTAACTAAATAATAACAACGTGAGTCCACATGCTGATTCGGTAGCAGCAGCAAGATGTTGCATTTCCCTAGTGTGCTGAGAGCAAATAAGCAGCGTGGGGTTGTGAGCCTGTTTGCCAGGAAGTAATCTTTACCCATCACTGGCAACAGACTAATTGCATGCTTACCCTGTGTAAGTGCCAATCAGAATTTAGCCTTTGATTTGTGCTGTTTAATGTTATTGTTTAATTTTGGTTTAGACTGTGTATATTTCCTGCCTGGGACCTTTGGGTGAGGATTATAAATATTTCCAACAAAATAAGTAAATCCAAAGTAGAGTATTTTCAAACATTAGCAATAACAGAGATATCACACCAACAGCAGCATTTATGCAAACAGTATACCCTTTCCCTCCCACTTTGCCCCATTTCAAATTAATTTTACTTTGTGATGCAGGTAGGTTCAGAATGGTAGGTTCAGAATTCTACACAGATGAAAAACTGCACCAACCTCTGACTCTGACAGGTGAACAACTGCTATACTGCAGTCTGTAGACCTTAATGCCTGACAAAGCAGATTATAAAACAAGCAGCCTCTCATTATGATTACTGCAATTTAGCATGGCTAGTTACAACCCTTGCCCATCTGTCTATAAATAAACCACGGCACCCCCAGACATATATGAAACCCATCTCTACAAATTTTTAATAACTTACATATACTTCAGTCTGCTGAGGTCTGAAATTCCACTGAAGGCTTGCATGTACATCTGCATTGAAGGTAACCTTAATGATGCGATCTTTAACAGGTACCATTGTCTCAATCTCTCCTGAACCATGGCCTGCTACCGCTGACCCTCCAAGTCCAGTAGCCTTAAAGGAAAAGAAGCTGTAATTAACAATAGCCTGATTAAAAACAAGAAATGGTATCTGAGGCAAGAAGAATTAAACAGAAACAATCTCTTTCAAGAAAACTTTCCCAAGACAACAAACATAAAAGCTGCTACTTCTATGTACAAAAGCCAGACAGGCAACAAACATGGCAAGAGTCGATTGCACCCAATTAAACTATCTGAAAAGACTTACTTCCTTACCCTTCAAGTGATTTCTAGGCATGTGCTACATGGAACAGTTATTTGTGCAAATCAACCATTTAATGTAGCCTGAATTATTATCATCTTCATGGGTCAAGGGAGATTTTGAATATGGACAGGCATCAACTAAGGGACTAGATCTACTGGACAGAATCCAGAAAGGACCTACAAGTGATTAAATCTTCCAAATGTTCTTCATAAGTTTCCACTCTTTTCTGGTATTTGTCTAAATGCTTGCATGTTCAACTAAGATCTGCTTTTATAGAGTGCTGTTTTCAAGTAATACCCTCAACAGTGCTGGATAAGTGTTATAACAAGATCCCTTATGTAGATGTACTCTGTAAATGTGAGCAGTGTTTGAAACTCCCATTGTTCTAGGCACATTTTGTGACAGGGCATCTCATTAGCACAAGCAATATCTGAGCTCTGGGCACAGTACTTTTACTGAAGATTTCAGATTAAATTGGGAAAACGCTGTCTCACAGGCCCCTCCCCCATGATTGGCTCCCCACAAGAACAGAAATGGTGAAGTTTACCTGAAGAATAAGAAATCAAGATAAACTTTTTATAAAAGAATGGAAATGGTTTATTGAATATTTACAGACAAATTGTAAACAGACAAAAACATTAGCAGGATCATTGCCATAACCTGCAGTTTTATAAGAGTATATATTTACAGTAGATAAATAAACGAGCAAGTTAAAACCAGTTTGGATATGCAGAAGATATTGAAAAATAAATTTAAGGTACCCCAAAAAGAGGGGGGAAGGAAGTCCAATTTTGAAATGTCAAATTGACTGTAAAACGAACGAAAATGTAGAAATTCGAAAAGTACTGTATAAATTAAAAAAATAAAACTAAAATAAAATAGGTGGCAGCCCCTGCTCATCCAACTTGGGGGACAGATCCAGCACACACTATCTTCAAACGAAGGGACATCCAGGGACCCTACTCATGCAAACAGTTGGATTTTGCAGATTTGCGAGTCAGGTAGAAAGAAGCAGCAGGTTGCACGCAGCTTGGCAAAGGAAGCAGCCCCGTCGCTCCCCTGACTCTGCAGCAGTCGCTTCCTTCTTTCCCTGCATTTAGGAAACACTGTCTCGCAGGCCCCCCCCCTTTCCCCATGCTTGGCTTCCCACAACAACAACCCTGCGAGGCAGGCCCCCTCCGAGAAGCGAGCCCCGAGGCGACCTCTCACCTGGCAGTAGAGGCGGTAAAGGGGCACGGCCGCGTAGGACATGCCCGCCACGCCCACGACGCCGGCCGCCAGGTACGTCAGCACCGTCTTGTTGCGGTGCCTCCAGTCCTCCTGCTGCCGCCGCCGGGCCCCCGCGAAGGGGTCTCCGCCGCCGCCCTTGGCGCGCCGCCCGCAGCAGGCCGCCGCCTCGCCGTTGCCATGGAGACGGAGCCAGGCCCGCCAGGGCCCCCATCCTCGCGCCGCGGGAGCCGCGAGGCAAGCCCAGCCCCGCGCGCAGCCGCCCATGCCTTTCCTCTTTCGCTGCCCCGCCCCGTCCTGTCACGTGGACGCGCTCGGCATTCCTCCGTTCGCCGATACCACCGCCGCCGCCACCTCTCTTCGCGCGCGCGAGGTCGGCAGGTTATCGCGAGAGCTCGGTCCCCAAGGTGGCGAACCCACAGCCGGGCGGCGCGCGCGCGACACTGTCGCTTGGAACGCCGCCTCCTCCTCCTCCGCTTGCGGGAATCGACTACGGCGGCCGCGGGGGGTAAGTCCGCGTTCTCGTTTACCTGCTCCCTCGGCGTCGCCCCGCCTCCTTGCAGGGCAGCGTCTAGCTCCGTTGATACGGCGTGAGGCTCTTGATCGCGGGGTCGTGGGTTCGAGACCCGCGTCGGGCAAAAGGTTCCTGCATTGCAAAGGGTTGGGCTAGATGACCCTGGTGCTCCCTTCCCACTCTACAATGCTGTGGATCCTGTGATTCTACGGACGGAGTAGTGAGAGAGCCTCAGGCTGTGGTTACGTGATACAAGCAAGCACACACAAGTTATATACATAATATACATACATACATATATATGTAAACAAGCACCTCTCAGGTTAGCTCAGTTGGTAGAGGGCGAGGCTGTTAGTACTTGCTGTAGAGATTCAGATAAGGTGTGCGAAAGGCTTTGAATTGCTATATGTAGACTCCTTAAGCTGGGTACTGTTACAGTGGTACCTCTGGATGTGAACGGGATCTGTTCCGGAGCCCTGTTAGCATCCAGAGCAGAAAGCAACCCGCATGTGCGCGAGTCACGATTCGCCGCTTCTATGCATGCGCGTGACATCATTTTGAGCGTTTGCGCATGTACGAGCGGTGAAACCCAGAACTAACCCGTTCCGTTACTTCCAGGTCGCTCCGGAATGCAACCTGAAAACGCTCAACCTGAAGTGTCTTTGCCCAAGGTATGACTATAGGAATTTTAAGGTCTCAAATATGAATATATATTCATAAATGCACACATATCTAAATACAGTGGTACCTCGGGTTACATACGCTTCAGGTTACAGACTTCGCTAGCCCAGAAATACTGCTTCAGGTTAAGAACTTTGCTTCAGGATAAGAACAGAAATCGTGCTCTGGCGGCACAGCGGCAGCAGGAGGCCCCGTTAGCTAAAGTGGTGCTTCAGGTTAAGAGCAGTTTCAGGTTAAGAACGGACCTCCGGAACGAATTAAGTACTTAACCCGAGGTACCACTGTATATGAACCATGTGTCTGAAATAATACAGGAGAGGAATCCTGAAGCCATTTTCACTCTCCCAATGACCTCTGATATTCCTCTGCAGTAAGGGAGGCAAGGGATGCGGGTGGCGCTGTGGTCTAAACTACAGAGCTTAGGGCTTGCCGATCAGAAGGTCGGTGGTTCAAATCCCCACCATGGGGTGAGCTCCCGTTGTTCGGTCCCAGCTCCTGCCAACCTAGCAGTTTGAAAGCATGTCAAAGTGCAAGTAGATAAATAGGTACCGCTCCAGCGGGAAGGTAAACGGCGTTTCCGTGCGCTGCTCTGGTTTGCCAGAAGCGGCTTAGTCATGCTGGCCACATGACCCAGAAGCTGTACGCCGGCTCCCTTGGGCAATAAAGCGAGATGAGCGCTGCAACCTCAGAGTGGTCCACGACTGGACCTAATGGTCAGGGGTCCCTTTACCTTTACTTTTAAGGGAGGCAAATGGGGAAAGCCTTCCCATTGTCTTTTCACTTACAAATCCTGTCTTAAGGGTGTCTTTGTGTATGAATAGGGTGAGCCTGTGACCTCCATTCAGGAACTAAAGTATTAACCATCACAAAAGAATGAGAAGGCTGCCCAGGTAGTGCAATCAGTGACCATTATCAGGCAGGATTTCTGCTGGAGACCACCTCCTCCTGTGGTGTATGTCTGATGTTTAGGCCGGGTGTGTGTGTGTGTCTTGGGCTACAAGGTGGGCAATTTCAAAACTCTGTATAAGGGCTTGTGCACCATTGTTCAGGGTTCTCCTCCCTCCTGCGTGTGGTGAGTGGGGACCCTGTTGCAACAGTTCCTTTAATAAAGATCAGGTTTACTAGCCGCTTTGCTTCTCAAAATACTCTGGCTGGCCTCTGTTATTTTCTCCTACTGATAGGGAACCTTCTTAAGGACTCCAGAATACCCCATAAGGGAAAGGGAACAGTTATAAGAAAAACAGTTCCAAATAAATTCTAAGCTCTTTGGGTCACAACTTATGAAACAATGATTCTGGAGGAGGCTGATAAAAGGTGTTTTATATGATAACTGAGCAGCAAATGCAGGTCTCCTACCAACTGAATATTCAAGGTGATATTCAGGCTGTCCACTCCTGCAAAGGACTTCTCCTCCTGCAGGCAAGATTTCCTCTTTGCTGCCTCCTAGTTGAAAACACATCATCTTTAAAAGGACTGAGATGCACTGTAGGACTGGACCTCACGTGAGAATTTGGAAAAGGGTGCGGCAGTGGCAGACAGTGAAAGGTAACCGGGTAGATGTAGCCACTTGGCAGGGGAAGCATGACTTTGCCCCAGCCAAACATAGAGAGCAAATGTGTAAAAGGGAAACAAACAAATTACATCCAGTAACTATTTTTTTGTCAACGTTTGCAAAATGCTCAGAATGCATCCTTATTCTGTTTATCCTGTGGGTAACATAATATCTTCTAAAGAAGGTTGGATAATAATATTGAAAGTTTTGAGATAAATTTATTTTTTAGAAAAAAACAAGCTAAGTTGCTGTGTTATGAATAGAGGTGCAAAGCCCCTGTAAGAATTGCATATTGCAACTGTTCGGAAATTTGCCATTGCCTTGCTCTCCCCCCCCCCCCCGACTTCCAAAGGACTATTATGGGTCCTCATGAAATCAGCCGAACTATATACATCACATTGCATTTCCAGACTGCCCAAACAGATTAGGTAATTAGCTTATGTGTACAGTTTGCACTAACAAGCCAGGAGTGCTTTTGTCGGGCCCCTTCTGGGCCCTTGCAGTCCACTCTGAAAAAGACGGGAGTTGAGATCTTCATAAAAAGTATTTAGCAATTACCTCGGTATATTTACTGGAACAGAGGAAATAGACCTGTTTATTTCTTGCTGCTTTTGCTTGCTCAACAGGCACTGAACTTATCAGAGGCTATCGAAAGCAATCTGATGAAGCCTATGGAATTTTCATAAAGAGGATATTACCTTGGGGTGGGGAGAATGGCTGCAGTAGATAGTAAATAACTGCCTTTCATGTTATTGTTGTTGCCAGCATGGCTGCTAAAAACAACTTTATGTATTTGTATTCTCCCCACCACTTTTCATTATAGTTCCATGAATGCACATTAGGCAGAGTAAAGGGAGATCAGGCACGAAGCACACTTGCCTTTTATCTGAATTGCAATCCCTATGGCTCATACGCAGTAATGTTTTGTGAAAGAGCTCAATGACAAAGAGCTCTTTTCCTGGTCACACTGCTGGTTGAGCAAGTGGGGAAAGCTTATCAACTTTCTTCCTGTCGGCCAGTCAGAACAGCTGATTGGTGATGGCCATTTCACATAATAGTTGTAGTTACCGGTATATCCCAGCATGGACATTGTAGCAGAAGACAAAATGTCAGCTTGCATTACGGTGTTCTCAGGGTGTCCTATTATAACATGAATGATGTGGCTGTATTCATTCAGAACTCAGCCATAAGAGAGTAAATCCGAAAGGTGAGATTTATATATTACTGGAAGTCTCTCTGGAATCGTTGTTGTTTAGTCATTTAGTCGTGTCCAACTCTTCGTGGCCCCATGGACCAGAGCACGCCAGGCATTCCTGTCTTCTACTGCCTCCCGCAGTTTGATCAAACTCATGCTGGTAGCTTCAAGAACACTGTCCAACCATCTCGTCCTCTGTCATCCCCTTCTCCTTGTGCCCTCAATCTTTTTCCAACATCAGGGTCTTTTCCAGGGAGTCTTCTCTTCTCATGAGGTGGCCAAAGTATTGGAGCCTCAGCTTCACGATCTTTCCTTCAGGTCTGATTTCCTTCAGAATGGAAAGGTTTGTTTTTTTTTTTATAAAATTTTTATTTGGTTTTCTGCTTTTATAAAGACAAAACATACACAAAGAAAAAACAAAGACAAAAACATGTATAAAGTCAGCAAATCCCCATTTCATAACCTTGTTCCCTGACTTCCCCCCACCCCCCCTAATGCATCCCAGTTTCAAGATCATGTCAGCAAGTTGATATTTCTCCTCTTAACAATCTTATTCATCTTATTTCCTTTTTTTTATAATAAAAATTAGTTTTCATAAGTTGGACTTAAGTTCTCTTCCATCGATTTTCATTTTATCTTAATTAAAAGTCATCTTAACCAAACCTAAAAGTCTTGAGAGTTTTTAAGAGTCTCTTCTTCCCTCCCTCCCATCCCCGGTTTTTGTCCCTTCCCAATAAAAATCCAAATTCGAAGTTCTCAGCCTGGGTTCCTCACGTCCGAGGCTTTCAAATCTATTTCCGTTCCTCTCCGCCTGTCCTGTTGGTAGTCCTTTACAGCAGTCGTCAGATCTGGGAAAAGTTCTTTCACCATCAAAGTATGTCCTCCTCCAACAAAAAGATTCAAAGGTGGCTGCTGAAGTATTTCCACAAAGTCTATCTCTTCCAAGTCTAAGTCCAAACGGAGACCCCAATCATATTTCTTTATTTTAAATTCCTGTACTCCATTTTGTCTTGGGGCCTCCTCCTTCTTCTTCTGTATCTCTCGCAGACTTGTGGTGAATATATTCCCAGCGTCTCCTTGCTTGTATTCCACAGATGTCAACTTTTGGTTATTACTTCCCAGGATTACTTCTTCTTTTTCTTGTTGTTTAGTCTCTTCCAGCTCTGTAGATATTGTTTCCCAATCAGCTGTGGATTCTTTCTCATTGAGGTCCTCAATACAAAGAGCAGAGTTGCCTGTTCCCAAGGTCATAGTCTCAAGTTGTTTGTTCATGGCCAAACTCTGCTCCTGTAAGATTCCCACCAATTGAAACATCCTTTCGATTTCCACTAGTAACTTTCCTTCCACAGCCATTGTATCCATTGTAGTTTCACAGAGTTCCCCCTAGGGGGAATCTGGTTACTTATTTGCCTTTTCACCAACAATCCTTAAACTGATTATTATTACTTTGTTTCCAACAGTTTCAGCTCAATTATAACTCGTCTTAGTCCATAAAAATCTTAAATGGCAATTTCTCGCTTTAAACCGCCCGTTTGGCAGCTTTGACAGCTGTCAAACTCCGCAGCTCTAACGCAGGCACGAAGGCAGGACGATCCCGAGCCCGGGAGGGGGGGTTGTTTAAAACAGAAGGAAGGTTTCCAAAACTCCACTCTCCTGCACAAAATTTTCCTTTAGTAAAATCTTGAAAGTTAGTGTCCTTTTTAACTCACCCCACCAAGGGTAGGCTCTCCAGCTTATCTCTTGTGTCGTTGCTTAGATGGTCTGCAAGGGGGGGGGTGCGGACTTCCTTTTAGCACACCCCCGGTCGTCTCCAATTAAAGGTAAAATTTTTCAAAAGTCCCAATCCGTCTTACTCACGGGTAATTCTTTCAGTCCAAATTTTCAAGGAAGGAAGTCAACGCTCTCCGGTCATGGCTCGCGGCTTCGCTCCACCGAGGTAGCGATCGACTCTCAGTGCCACGCCACCCCCGTATCCCCTCCGCAGCCTTTAAAAAGGCTCTTTGCGAATCAGGGGGGGCGCTTGAGGCACCCGCCGAGTCTTCAGTCCGCAGGCTTTCGCGCCTGCGGTTTTTAAGGGTCCCCGCGTCGCCGGCGCGGCAAAGACCCATCCTCATTGGAGCCGATTCCCTCCGGAGCTCGGAGGGAATCCGCCATTTCCAGATCGCGTCAACCCGGAAGTCCCCTGAGAATGGAAAGGTTTGATCTTCTTGCAGTCCATGGGACTCTCAAGAGTCTCCTCCAGC